GGGTATTTTCTGTCATAAAAACATTGTTTCAACAGTTTTGGATTACAAATTCACTACATTTATATTGAGATACATAATGTTACCCACACCAGTATATGTTTCTATTTTGCAAAAACAGTGTATATTTCTTTGTTTGCTCTCTATGTCTTATCTTATACCTTTAAAAAGGACTGCTTAAAATAAGTTTGTCTTACTTATCCCTAACGTTTAGTAAATTTGAAAACAGTTCAATCAAAGATGTACATATATTTTGAACTAACCTATATTTTCCCTTTCATCTGTGGTAATGATTTTTTTTCTCTAACTTAAAGGTTCACCTTGTTCTCACAAAATGTAGTAAGTTTTCCCCCCTTCATTTCAGCTTTAGACCACCTCCATACACAGGAAGTTCCAAAATTAGAGTACCAGGTTTAATTCCCTCTGCTCTTTGATATATGTCCTCCAGTTTTTCCCACCTACTTGGGTCCAGCCAGAATTCCACTTTTGGTGTCACGACCACCACATTCCCTGAAACTGAATCCAGCTCAGAAAATATGACAGAGGGTGTAGGCATACTGGGACAGTGTGCTGTAATGATTACATGGGAGAATACACCATGCCATTGAAAGCAGTTTTGTGCTGCAAGATGGAGACTATGAGTTTTTCTTTTTCAGAAATGTTCGTGATGCTCATGTACTCACTCCGTCCAGGTTACAGGAAAGTATCCTCAGTGATTCCAGCTACCAAAATATCTATACCAAATACCATATTCTCCCATCCATTTTAATTACCTAAAACAAGTTTTTATTTCTTTGGTCAGATTTTTTTAAATTCTACTTCCCAACCTTTCCTCATCATCTATCCCCCTCCCTGAATGACCCAGGCTCCTGCACAAGAAGCAGTGAGTTCACTCTTACAGAGACTCAGAGGACTTATTAGCAAAGCAGCAACCATTTTCAAATAAATCCTATCCTTGCAACTTCACCAATCTCCTTAGTAGTTGCTCTCTTTACATCTGCTGCTTGAGGCCCAGTCAAGGGTTCTGGCTGTCAATTTAGACCTGTTTACATACCAGATCAAGTCTTGAAATTGGAAGTTTGTCCTTCACTTGGATGAGCATTCTTTTGACACCTAAGACATTATTGGGTCCTGGTTTTCTGTGGAGGCCTTGAACAAGTGGATCATAAACCTGTTTGGACAGTAAAGGCACTTCATAAATGTACATGGTTTTAAGTCTTGTATCATTTCGCAAAACTTTAATATTCATCAAAGTTACAAGTCACCAGACATATCCAACACATTTTGCAGCTCAGGGATTGAATGTTGGCAAAAGTGAATTCTCTTTTGGTCAAAGATCTGAAAAAAGAATAAACAAATCTGGTGGCACGACAAAATACAGGAAAGCTGTTTCTTCATTACAATTTTCAACATTAAAGGTACAACAAGAACACAGTGATACCATTCTTAAGACATATACCCACAGTAGCTTTTAAGAACTGTAGTTCATTATAACATTCTTTAAAATTTAAATGGAAAAAAAGGATAAATGAGGCTTCACTGCTACAGTTACATACTATCACCACACTATTTTTTGTTGAAAACATTAGGGATTACTCTTTGAGCCTGAAAATGCTAAAGTAATTTCTGTTTGACAAGGCAAGAACTCTATGAAAGAAGAAAGTGTACCCAGAAGCCATAACAGGGCAAATGTTACTAGTAAAAACACTAGTCACTTACACACTGACAAAGAAAGCAGATAAGCATCCACTGCAGGATTTTTCAGACATGGTCCACAAGAAGAACTTGAGAAAAGGGTGATGAACTAACAAATCTTTTCTCTCTTAGCCGTAGTAGTACTAGTATGCACCCAGTTTGAGGGACTGCTGTCTCTACCTATAAATCATTCTAATTCCTTGACCTGACTTTCGTTACATAAATTTTCAGTAGATTTAGTATTCCCAGCCTCTTTTTATGTATCTTCCTTTGGGTCTCTCAGCCAACCAGAATTCTTACACTGGCAATGTCAGTTTCCTAAAGCTACAATTGCTGAAAATGACATAGGACTATTTACTTCCCTTTATTTGCCATAATGCTACTGTATTTCAACACTGAAATGACAACCCAAGCCCAAAGATCAATAGTGAGGCTTGGTGTGCAGGGCTGAAGGAAACTCTCGTGGGTTGTAAGGACAGAAGAAAGAAATATGCTAAACTATGGAACGTGTCAATCTCAAAGTTGTTAAAAAGACAAGACACTGAACCTCCATTGCATTGAATGTCTGCCATTAAACTCTACAATGCTGTCATCATGTGGATGATGTTGAAACCTCTGTCTTTCTCTTTCATTTTAACTCTGCATATTTTACCATGTACAAAAAGATGTTGAATGAATGTAATGATAATTAAGCTATATCACTGAAGGTGCATAATTTCTCTCTTTTTGTTGGTTGTTTTACAAAGAAGAAAAGAAATTTCTTGTTGACGTAATTAAGAACATTAGGATTCTATGAAAAGAAACTTAAATAAACTGTGTCATCATGATTCATTGTATTCATATCACTTTTGTGAGATCCCCACTTTGCCTAGGTTTTGTACAGAAGATCTATCATTATTGTTATGTTCACAAACTGTAGAGAAAAGACGTGTTAAATGTTTTAAGACTGTCTTCTCTGAATCTGTGCTAACTGGTTTCTTCCATACCGATCACCCAGTGTCTTTCGCCATAGCATATGTACAACACTAAAGTCATTATTGTTGTCACAGCACAATCAACATTAAAATACTCCTTTTTTTTTAAGATCATTGCAACTTCTCTTTTTACTTTGCATACCTGGTTGTTTTTTTACTCTGATTAAAGTTGCATTCTTGATCCTCAATCATACTGATCACTTTCACACTTTTCCGGCTCTGTGAAGGCTAATATCAGTGTGATTCCAATCAACCTTTGCAGAACACTGGGTGGCTAAGAAACACATGGTGTCAAAATTTCGACAAAATTTGTATTGTGCATTTGTTCTGTCTGTGTTTATTCTCAGTACCTTTGTATTCAATCTAATGAATGCTCTGTTTCACCCATATAAATATTATATATTGTCATTTTAGTATCCGCAGTGTTGTAATGAAAATTAACATAGCCCATTTACCCAAACCAATATGTACGCAGAGGTTTAATGTTGGATGCACTTCTGAAAATAATATTTAATCTGTATACAATGATTAAATTGTAGCTAATATATCCTTTTTGTGACATTTATATAGAGGGAAAGTTGTGTTTTAATACCTAAAATAAATTATTTATATTCCGAACCATAGAATAGGAATCAAAATAAGTATCATAAATCAGACATTCTTGTACAGTTGGTGAAATTAGATGCTATTTTGTGTTCAGTTACTTTTCCTTGAACAGATGAATTAACATGGAAAATGTAATGCATTTTGAAGAAACAATATAACATGTTATGAAAAATGCATTTCTCAATGGTTATTATTAATACTAAATAACATTCAACTCCCTACAACAGATTGGGGCAAAGTCAAATTGACTGCATACTTGCATTGTTGTAAGACATAATTTATCCTTATTAACAGTATAAACCTAAATTATCTTGAAGTAGTATATTTTTGTTATTACTTATTGTCCTTTTGTCCCCAACATCTAAAAATATGTACAGTCAGGTTCATAGTTTAAAAATGCTGAATTGAATTCACTGCCCTATTTAGCTGTGCCAAAAACAACAATTGCATGGGTGTTCTACATACAGTGAGCTTTGAATATTGTAAATATTAGTCTAAATTGACAAATTAATCTTAAAGTAATGTAACATTTGGAGTTTGTTTTTCCCTCCATTTAAACACATGGTAATTCATCTATCATTCTATGCAGTAAAGTAGGAACTAGAATAGCAAACTAATGTTAAAAATATCAGTGTGAAACTAGGAAACCCAACCTGTTGACTAATCGTTTTCTAAAAATAATATAATTATGTATAAAATATATAAAGAAGTACGCATCACTATTAACAAGATTTTATGTTAAAGAAGTTTCATTATTTTTTGTTTGTTGTAAGATGCTTTGACAGCTTTATCACCATTCAATGATGTAAAAAATATATTCGTCCTTACGTATATCTAAAGTACTTCTAAGCTGTTAATGCATTTGACATTCAGTTATTCTTTATATTCCTTTTATTTAATAACAGTAAATTTTACCAAATTAAAGTGATATAAAAATCGTTAAGTAGTATAGTATATTAAAATTTTAAAGTTTTAATTTCAGGTTTAGATTAGAAAAATTAACAGTTGAGTCATCAGTAGTACTTAATAAACTAAATATGAACGAAATATTGAGAATATAGTATCTTCTAGAAAGTATTATACATGAAATATACTCTATGAATATGCAGTTGATTTTCAAATTAAGTTTCCAAGGTATGACTTGTAAGAATAATATACAAAAAAGTTTAAGTTGTCATGATTATAACATAATCGAATAATTTCTGTGATCTTTATGTGTAGAGTTTATGGTCGAATGAAACGTAGAATATTAGTTGAACTAGTAAAATATTATTTAAACTATTTTTCCTGTTGAATTGTTTTGATACTTGTTTGTCCAATTATCTGTAATTTGATCAGTTAATAGAGAAACAATGGTATCAATTGTTCATTTAGCAAAGATGTGTAACTTCTTATTCATAAACTTCCTACATATTTTACACTCCTTTAGGAAGCTATCAATAGAATGAGTTTTAATTTCATATATCAGTATAATGTGAATTGTATCGTTAAGATAAAAATTTGATACTATCCCTCTTCTAACGTACTTTCTTGTAAGTGGTTTATGCCTTTCTAAACAAGCGTTTTAGTATGATGTGAATTATGGAATAAAACATTGTTATTTTTATTATTCTTTAACAATTTATTATTGAAAGATAAGTTCTACTCAAACTATAATTATGGTTTTCAGGATTTTTCTGTGATGTTAATATAGTGTCTATCATAATCATCGTATGAAACAATGACCAACTAAAGTAAATAAGATCCATTGAATTACCATTAATTTTTTAAATCTGTTTTACACTTCTAGTACTACCCATTCCCTTCCCATATGATTTTATGTATTAAAATATTGTAGTAATTGGGAAGAAAGCTCAGAAAGTAGGACACTGAAATCCGTTTCTGTGTATAATAACTTATTTCAAAATATCCACAGCCATTTCTTTTATATTCTTAAGATGCATTAAAGTGATCATGACATCAATTAAATAGATATGTGACCAAAAGTTAAGAATTGTTAATGGAGATCATGAAATACAATTTTTACACATAGTGAAATACCTTGAAAAGTGTTACAATTGGTTTAACAAAGATTTAAGTGGAATAAAAATTTTAATTATTATCCTGTTCAGGAAAAAATATACTGTGTAGTTTCAAAAAACAATGAATGAACTCTAAATATAAATTTTTGTTTTTATTATATTTATATATTATAATATGTAGCAGTTCATTAAAATAGAAAAGCGAAATAGAATTCCTTCTACTTCACCATACAGAACAAAATAGAACATGGAAGTTGACTTCAAAGTACAGTGTTGTACAGAAAGTGCTAAATATCAAATGTGTCATAGCCATAGATATCGTATAATATATAGATCATCTATGGTTGCAGCTATCATATTAGTTTGAAGTGTGCAAGATGAACAGTAGTTTGGATTTATGAAGCCTGTTAAAATAAGCTACAATTCAAACTGGTGACTGAAGTAACTGATATTTTCAAGTTCTGTTAGCTGGTTTCATTACTTTGTACAGATTTGAATGTGGAAACTAGATATGTAGATCTAGGAAATATCCAATTTGCAAAAAAAAGGAAAGGCATAAAGTGATAAATGGGTTAGATTTATGTATATGTGTGTGTGCATATATATAATGAACAGTTTGCACATTGTTTCAGTTATAAGAGTCATTTTTTTGGACTATTTAAATAAATTTTTAAAAATTTATTTTAGATTTCTTGTACATTTTTACTAAATATCTTATTTTAATTTCAAAATAATTGCTTTGGCAAGTAATTTTTCATGGCGGAAAAGAATTGCAGAAAACTAAGTTATATATCTTGGCAGTAATACACGAAAATAGGGAAAAAAGCATTACAATTTATTTTAAATAAACGTGGGTGGTTGTGATTAATTTACAGTAACAAAGGATTGTTGAACAACAAATTCTGTATTTTGTATTCTTATCTAGTAACATCATTGTGCTTTTGAAAGTACTGAAATGCAAAGGGTGTTGTTATTCCTCAGTTAAAGACTAAAATCTGAAGTGATGATCTGTAGTTTTAAATATTAAGTTCATGTTTTCATTGTGTGTTTTATCAAACATGCTGCATAAATGGCTACATTAAAATCTGAATATTTGTAAAATGGACTTGGATCTGGTTTTTGTTACTTTCATAATTAAAAAAAAAAATCTAAAAAGTGGGATTCAAACCACTGCAGTGCTATAATACATACTAAACATGTTTGAATCATACATCAGCAACATTTCAATATAGTATGTAAACACATAAACATTTATATTCATGATATTTTTGTAATTCCTATTTATTTGGATCAGGAAGTGGTTGCTATCTAGCTTTACATATTTTAGCTATAGAATCAGTGATAACATTGAACAATATAGTTTAGACAATCTTATATTTTATATTTATATACAGGTAGAAACGACAGTATTGCAACAACAGGAGGGTCAAGCAGATTTGTTTGTGAGAGAATCAAATGAACACGGAGAGCAAAGAAGAGGCTCGAACACAAATGTAAACCAAAGAAACAAAGTCTTTACTTGTACACACACACACACACAAAGTCTTTGGTATTTACATATAACAGAAGTTTTCTGGATGGTGTCAGTGTTGTTTTGACTGTGCAAAAGACAGAAAAATTGTCTATAATACATTGGTAAGTCAGACTAAAGTCTTACATTAAAAACATCTTTGAACATTCCCATTTTACATGTTCAAGAGGAGTTGAATTCCCAACTCACAACTTGTACAAAGCTTTGCACCATCCTTTAAACCTCAAGGGAGGAATGACACAGAAGCATTTCCTAGCAAATATAAGCTCTATGAAAGAGCCAGTTTGATAAGTAACCTTATTGGTTTAGGATTTTCACATCCTGTTCACAAAAACATTAAGTAAATACAGAACACTTGCACGAAAAGTATTGAAATATTAACTTTATTTAGATTATGTGCATGATACTAACTCAAGAAGAAGGCTTTTATACAAGTCTTTGGTGATTATGGTGCTCAACTCGTAATTTCTGGATCAAAACATCGCCAACGGTGCCCACTCTTTCAGCAGGACAGAATAATCTGATGGTCCATCCCACTATTCATATGTAAAGTGTAGCCCAAGAATAAGTGGTGGGTGGAGTTAACTAGTTGCCTTCCCTCTAATCTGTCACTTCAAAATTAAGAAAGACTTGTTTTATTTCAGGGATCATGTGATTTCTCTCAACCATTCAAAGTAATTTTTATAATAAAAATATATATGTTAAACATTCTAATCAATACTGTTAATGAAAATAACATTAAATAAATAACAGAGTATAGCTTACTTATGGAAGAAGTAAACACTAGTGGTTTACTTCAGACAGCACAGTACATTTTCCTTGAAGAACTTGACTATGGTGTATACAAAACACTATAAAGTCCATACTAAAAACGTTTTGTGTTTGAGCTCATAAACATAACTAAATATACAAAACTTGGTCCACATATCAGGTACATCTTCGAAAAATGTGTGTAGTGATTTACCAGATTTGGTGCGAGTTATTTTTCATGTTTACCTATTGTAGCAAATTTTCTGTCCTTTCGAAAGTAATACCAGATGGAAAGCATAATGTCTCGGGCTGCTCTACTGACAAAATAATTTCACTGTGGCTTCTAATACTCCTACTTCATTAGACTGTATGTATGTGTATTTTATAGCTTGTAACATTAAAAGTGACGTGAATGTTGTATTTTAGCAGAAGTAGCCATTTCTACCAACCCCAATAGTTTTTTTTTCATTTTCATGATGCCACTTGATTGAAAAATGTTTGTCATAGATGATGAGAAAACTATTTGAATACAACCTTAGGCGGTTTATGTATTTTTATCATTGTAATCTTTATGCTCTTTAACATCAGGTGGTGTGTGAAAGCGACATGGGTCTTGGAGTATGAAAACCGAAATTACTTCTAAATAGTAGGATGCATTGGTTATTATATAATATTAAGCTAGGTATGTGTATACATTTATATTTTACGAATTCCATTTTAATGTATCATATTGTATTACAGCACAATTCCCTTATGTATCACAGGAAAATTGACCGAGTAAAAAAGTTAGGCCTGTTAAGTTAGGAGGTTCTCATACCTCAGGTTTTGACGTGTGCTTCCCTTTGAGTTAAATCACAGAAAAAGAAACAAGACACGAGTTCACATAGATGTTTAATGGTATTTTTCAATAAATGGGTGAAACCATATATCACATCCCTGTCCTACAGCCTCCAATCCACCTTTCTTTCCAGGCCGATCTCGTAATATCACTTGCCTAGCAATACTTAAAACTAAACATTAACTTGTTACAAAGCTCTATCACCCTTTCGGGAGAGGGTGGTTTAACAATCCATGCTCACAAAGTTCAAATACATATTGAAACAAATAAACATGAAAAATACCTTTTAATAAAGACTGCGCACGAAATTTAATTCTGTAACAAGGATAACATATTACTATTACATTAAAAACCCTTGAACAAGAAAAGTTATATATTAAATAGGAGGAAATTTTCACAGTTCACCCGCCCGTTTAAGAGGAGTATTCTAACAGGCTACGCATAAAACCAAAAATGTACAAACAAAATCTTCCAACAACTAAATTCGCATGTAAAAAGTTCAAAGCTCTTCAAACTATAATTCGTTCCGACGAAAATTTAGCGACACAAGTCCTTTCTTAATAAAACTGGTTTATTCTTTCTGAATATAACTTTGCGATACACTTGATTTCAACAGTCGCACTATAACAAACGTCTCGCGTGCTCGACTTCAACAATACTCAGTTCAATTATTCATTACCTCTCCGTCGCTTCGTGGCCGGTCTTATATATACAAGACTACACTATATCTAGAAGGATCACGAGATTTAAGGAAAATACGTCAAAGTTCGAGAATGACGTGGCGTGATAGTAGTCACTTGACCTCGATGTCGTAACAATATACAAACAACATAATATAGAAACTAAACCTTAATCTCAAACACTGTGCAAAAATATGCACTATATAAAATGCATATACAGAGAAATCTTGCTAATCAAACGCATTTGTAATGCAGTAGTTTTTCTGGATTATTGAGACATCTGGGTATTCGAATCAGTCAATGTGAAGACAGAATGTAAAAGTACAAAATAACTAGTAAAGACAAGCAATCACGTGGTAATAACTTAGTTTATGTACAATAAACGTATCCGCCTATTATTTTATACGTCATAAGTAACTGCATAATCAAAATGGCATATTATTTCACTACCATCACATGGTATCATGACTTGCACTTGGATTGTTTTTTGTATAACAAACAGCATGCTTTAATTATGCTAATAGTTCTTTGTTTTGGAGCACTGAGACTTCACGTGATTCTAACTTAAAAGTTAAATCACTCTGTTACGACAGAGGAAGTCACGCGACGTTGGGAGCATGAGTGCTGGAGTTTCATGAAGGATCATGAAGGCCTGAGTGCATTCGAGACACCGTCTTTTTAATATATAAGCCTGGCGAGAGAAACCAGCGCGATCGAGATAGAGATAATTGAGTCAAGCGAACAGTAGGCACCGTAATTAAAGTGTGTGAATCACCGTGATTTATTGGGTGTATTATAAAGGTTTTTAAGTTTAAAGTGACTGTGGAAATTCTCTGTACTACAAAGTT